ATGTTCGACTGAGTCGAAGGCTTTCCTGAAGTCAAAGAAAAGTAAACATAACGGAACTTTGTATTTCCGGCTCCGCTCAATCAGCTGTGTTAAAGCAAAGATGTGATCGATTGTGGAGAACCGCTTCCTGAATCCTGTTTGCTCTCTTTTCGAATTTTCATCCAAGATCTTTTCGATTCGAGAGTAGATTAACCGCATGAAGGTCTTGTACATGTGGGATAACAAGCAAATGGGGCGGTAATTGGCAATGTTCTCCGGATCTCCCTTCTTCGGTAGCAGTACGGTTTTGGATCGCTTCCATTCTGCCGGTATCAATACTGCTCCCAGGTACCGGGTGAATCGCGCACTAGTGCTTTTGCTATTGTTTCACCTCCGGCTTTTAGTTCTTCTCTACGGATTTGATCAAGACCTGCTGCTTTATTCCGCTTCAAGGAGCGAATCGCGATCACGACTTCGTTGGGAGTGATAGCAGGCACAGAACAGGTCCTTGAAATTTTTGGACTCCGGACATTGACTACTGACGCATACAGATCTTCATAGAAGTTTTTGCAAATAGCTTCTATGCGCCTCCGATTCGTTGTTCTTTGTCCGTCCTTGTCCAGCAACGCCACTGGGATCGTTTGACGCAGCTGCACCTCCTTCCATGCTTTTTTCAGGCTCATTTTCTGCTCCACTGCATTTCTTAACTTGTTCTTACGATATCTGCCATAATCTTCCGTCATACGTCTTCTTATTACTTTGAACAGAAGCTTGTACTCCAGACTGACATCGCCTTTCGATGCCATCTCTCGCCGTATTCCAATGAGATCTACCGTTTCTTGACTTAGACGATTTCTGGTGTGCTTGACGACATTTACCTCGGCAGCAGCTTTACATTCGTTGAGTTTGTCGAGCAAGAGGCCATAATCTGCATCAATGTTGTTATCTGTAATTTCCCAGTTTTCACATTCAACAGCTTGTAGGAAGAGGTCCTCTGAGAACTGCTTGGCCTTCTACTATGGATGTTTCTCTTCTGAATCCTTCGTTCCCTGCTGAAATCGATTCGAATGTCCGCTCTCAAAAGACGGTGGTCAGAGTGGACCGAAACTGCTGATTCAGATAAGATGGACACATCTGTAATCACTCGCCTTTTATCAGTGAGGATGTAGACGATTTCATTTCGGTGCGCGTCGTTCGGTGCATGTCAAGTCCAGCGTCTATCCGAACGTTTCGGGAAGAAGGAATTCATTACATAGAGCTTGGAACTTTCGGCAAAGTCAGCAAGTC